CTCCTTCATAAATTATTTCCCTGAACAAAGGATTATAGGAAAGACAGGCAAGTGAGAGAAGTTGAAAATTCCTAACCTAGAATAATCGCTAAAGACTTTTAAAGGTTTGGCATTCTTTAACTCTGCTTTTTTAAAAAATTCTTATCCAAAATAAAAACCAAAACAAAACTGTATCTAGAATGTGAGATGTCACCCTTATCTTTCCAAGAGTCTTTCCTGTTTCAATATTGTTTTCTTACCTTAAAAAACTAAAGATTGAATATAAGGTTACATTTTAATTTTATGAAATGAAAAATTTAACATTTCTAAATGGCAACACTTTAGTGTTTGCTGAATCTTCAAATACTTATATCGCTTTAAATAAAATACTTAACATTGAGCACATGTATACCTATGCAATATATAAACTATAGAAATGTTATTTTCTTTATAATCTACTAGTAGCTAATGCTTATGCTACCTATATGCTTCATTTATATTCAGATGATTCTTCCAGCTTCTGACTGTGAATTGGAAAAGTTATTTATACAATATCCAAGGATAGAAAAGATACAACCAGATTGTATCTCTAAAAACGGTTGTTTTGGGAAGTTGTGTGTACAAGATTTTTTGTGTGATTTTATTTTTATTTTTACTTAACTTTTTTGTTTTTAATCACAGTCATATTGCCATCATCTCAAAAGAGTGTAAAGCCGTGCATTTTAACAACTAATTTCTTATTTGGATTTTTTCTGCTATTCTATAACATCATTTCTTTTTAACTATATTTTCATTGGAGTAGCTGCCCAAAACAATTTATAAAAATCCTTAAAATCTTCAAACAATGTCAAGATTTTATTTTAAAAAGAACAAAATTTAGACTCTTCATTCAGAGTAAACTATAAGGTATTTCTGGCATAGCTGGTTACCAGTTGTCTACTGTGTGCTATGGACTATGCAGGCATGGGTGAGGATGTTTGCTGTTGGGGATGTTGTAATACACTGCCCAGATCCCTCTTCAGGACTGAGGCTCTCATTCCTCCAGATGCTGGGATTGTTGGCAGTTGATGGTTCATAGCTGAGTCCTTCTCTGCTTATTCCCCTCAAGGGAACTTCATCTTCACTCAAGGTGCAGTGATGTAAGTTCTCTATCCCCTAGTTTCAAGGTAGAACAATTCTGCATGGCCATTCCAGCTCCAGACTATTCCATGGAACCCTCAGAATCCTTTGTTGTAACTGCATCTTAGTTCAACTCCTCTACTCAGGAACTTCCTGCACTCTCCCACAGGTGTTGATCTCAAAGACACTCTTCAGTAACTTCCCATGTGCAAATCTCTGTTTGAGAATGCTTCCTATGAAACTCAACCTATGCCTGTGGCTCCTTGTTGAGGGGTGGGGGGGGGGATGGGAGGTGTGGGCTCAGTTTGGTCATACCATTCATTAAATCAAGTACATTACATTCAGTGTCATAAGAGAAACATTATACAATCTTATGGGAGTGAAAGAAGTGACTTATTTTCTTGGAGGATAGCAGGGGGAAAATTAGGAAAGGCTGTGCAGAAGAGGTAACATTTGAGCTTAACTTTGAAGAATGACTAGGTATTCCTGAGGCAAAAAAGAAAGGATATGAATCAGTCTGAGCCTGTAGAACATAGCTTATGAAAGATGTGGCAGAAAGCTCATGACAGCAGGAAGGTGGAGGCTGTGGGGCGAGCAGCAGAGGCTGATCCAGAGCCAGCTCATGAAACACATTCCTGCATTTGAAGGTTCTTATGCTGGAGTAGGCTCTTCCCTTCTGCCTCCCCATTGATCAATCACGGCATGCTTACTCCACATACAAATGTGATTTGAGTAGATATACTTAGTGACATCCTTCTTCCACTCTTTTGCTTGAAGACCTTCTTTTGTTTTACTTTCTTAAAAATTATTTATTAACCTTTTCATTTTAATCTACTTTGTGAAGACACAAAGATCAGCTATGGTGCTTGAAATTCTACCAACAGCAATTTCTGGAATTCCAAGTGAAATTCCAGACAGAGTAGATGTTACATAATGTAGAATTCTAATACATGAACCCTCCTTTCACATATTAAACGAGGGGTTATCCAGTTGTTTCTAGTATATAGCTAGTGTTGGAAACATTGGCCTTTTCCTATTGTTGTTAACAATGATGTAGCACAGAGTAATAAAATTGCAGAGTTACAATTAATCATTGTTTTACAGACAAGAAAACTGGGGTCTAGAGAGAAGAAATTGTTTACCCAAGGTTGTACGCTGCATGTTGACAAAGCCAGAAGGATAACTCATAGTTTTTATCTAGCAACTTTCCCTCTCTATTGCTACATAATGAATTCATCTGATCCTTCTCTGAACAATGCCAGTCTGACATCTGCCCCTATTGAACTCCATGGCTCAGGTCCAACTACATCAGGGCTCCAGGTCTGTTTTTTCACCTCTGAAATCAGAGGCTTGGACCACAGGAATGCTCAGTGCCCTCCTCTCTGACATTGCAAGAGTCTTTATCCTTTCTCTAATAGAATATATGTCTAAGGGTCCTAGTGGACCAATTGAAGACTGAAAGGAGATGAGTACAGTAAAGGGAACTGAATAGACAAGGTTAATTTGTCCTCCGATACCATTTGCTAGTCTAGGCTAACAGCTACATTCTTGGAACCTTTAATTTCTCATATGTGGGCATTTCATAATAGTCTCACTTTAGGCATATGTTGCACAGTTTTTCCTTTATAGAAGAAACGTTCAGATTACCTGTCCTTTAAACGGTGCTTCTATAGGTCATGATGGTTTTAAGTAAATTGGCTGAAACTTGCAGCCAAGCCTCAATGCAAGCAATAACATTTTCTGGTCAAGCATTTTCTGGTTTGTTCAACTCCGTTACAGGCTGCCCTTAAAAAAAAACTTAAAAAGTTAAAACCCACAAGAGGAACAAAACACAAGTCTCAGGAAGATGGTTTCCAGCCACATTAGCTCAGATCACCAGGATAGAAAAGTAGCAAGGCCTTCATTGTCCAGACCATCATTGTCTCCAGATTTTCATCTTATGTTTTTCTGCTATTTTAATTTTACCACTTTAAAATTGGAGGGGTTAGGGGGTAGGTTGATAGTTCCCATGAGTTTAGACTATGACCAGAGGCATACTGAGCAATTTCAGAAACCCCAGCAACCACAGCTTTGATGAGAGGGCAGTGATGAATTTACTAATTCATCTTAGGAGAGATTCCTGAGTCAGGGGAGTCAGGCCAATGGTGTGCTGCAAGGTGAGGTATAAACAATATGCCTCCCTTCATTCTTTTAGCACACATTCACCCTGCTGATTTTATTTCAGGTAGTATACTAGGTGTAATATGGGACAGAGAAACACATTCTTAAGACATAGTCCCAGCCCTTAAGGCAATTGCAGTCTAGTTGAGGAAATAGACATCTGTGCAAATAATTTTAATACAAGTGAACCCTGTGGGCACAAAAGCACAGGAAGGGGAGAGAAAGAACCAGTTTATTCCAAATGAAGACATCAAGGAAAGCTTCACTGTAAAGTTGCCCTCTGACCCATACTTCGAAAGGTCAATATTGCAAATTGCAATTAATTAGCCAATGCGCAGGAGTATGGAAGTTTCTCATAGGTGTGAGTGTGTGTAAGCAGTCCAGGACGTTAGGGAACTCAGCCTAGAAAGGGAGGTTGAATGTCAGATATGGAACTAGCTCTTTTTACATTGTGGAGCCATATAAGTTTTTGCTAACAGGAAAATTATTTGGTTACATCTGTGGTTTGGAAAGGAAACTGGCAGTCAATTTGGGGATAGGGAAGTATTACAAAAGAAGCAACATGCAAATAAGGAAGCCCATCGGAGGCCATTGCTGTAGTTGAGACGCTAATACATTTGTTATCTACCCACAGGTACTTCTTGCCTAATGGCCATTTAAAGGTTCTCCTGGTATGAGAGCAGTTACTCCTTAATTTCCATATCCCTTCTAGTTCTGCATCTTTCTCATCAGCCACCCATCCCAGGTTTATTCTAGATTGTAAACTCAGTGATTCAGTCCAGGCATCTCAGTTGGAATATAGCATATTACATGTGAAACATGGTTGTTAAGAAAGAGCACATGAAGTTCTAGGGAAGGATGAAAAGTTAACAGCTAATTTTATCAGTTTTTCAGAGGCCTGACTCAATAAAGGGTATCCTCTTTATGGGGGGGGGGGGTATTTATTTTTAAAACTCAGTATATGTTTTCAGCCAGATAAATTGACTTTCTTAATTGATCTCTCAAAACTTGAACCCCTCTAGGTTCAACATTTCCATTGAGAGCTTACAGTACTAAACTGGAGTTGGTGTTTGAATCAAGTATTCATGATCACTGGCCTCATTGGTTGTGCTGAGCTATGACTGGGGTCAGCAGCCTGCATGCTCTGTGAGTCTGTTACCAGACAGACCACACTGGAAAATGTTAGGGTCCTTGATGACCCCACTAGGTCTTTGATGATGAAGCAAATGCTAGAAGTAATAGTGAAGCATTCTTCCAGTGGAAAACCTGAGTTGGATAGTTCAGGGGTCAACAAATTACTGCATAGGCCAAATCCAGAGCACCACCTGCTTTTGTATATAAAGCTTTATTAAAACACAATGATGCCCATTTGCTTATGTATGTCTATGGCTGCCTTTGCACTACAATGGCAAAATTGCACTATTGAAAGAAAGCCAGAAATATGTCCTCTATGGGCCTTTATCTAAAAGTCTGCCATCAACCTGGCTGTAGTGGGAAGGGACAAGGGGAGGAGTCAGAAGACATGTTTTAAATTTGACATTTGCAGAAGAAGTCTGCACTCTATAACATGAGAAAAACCATGTGATCCATCTGATTGTGTTTCCTTCTCTCTAGAATAGAGATTATAAAAGTACTGACTGTAGTGAGCATCCAAGCCAGTGTGTCCTGTGACAGTGCCCATCGTGCTGTAAGTCACTGTGGAAGGGCCACCTCATCATCAGCACCGTTCTTTCTCTCTCCAGAATACCCTGGAGCACTGCAGTGTGTGCTCCAAGCCCATCATGGAGCGGATTCTCCGAGCCACCGGGAAGGCCTACCATCCTCACTGCTTCACCTGTGTGATGTGCCACCGTAGCCTGGATGGGATCCCATTCACCGTGGACGCTGGCGGCCTCATCCATTGCATTGAGGACTTCCACAAGTAGGCAATCTCTCTTCCTGCCTCCAGCCTGCCAGTCTCAGAGTCTGTTCTCACTGCCTGGCACCTGAACCACACAGTCTTCTCTTGGAGCTATGGGATCTCAGGAATTGATGGGCCTTCAAAAGAATTTACTGATCCTCCTCATGCAATGCAGAAATTTGTATCAGGTGGTCCATGTGGTCTTGGCAGCCTGTCCACTGCTTCACAGCTTCCCTGGGGCTTGTTCCTGGCATCTTTGTGTGGCTGTAATGGTGAGAAAGTTCACTCAGTTACAGAGGATTTGTATTGGAGAGGGGCAGGACCCTGGGCTAGCCCTCTCTGGCCTAAACCTGAACAACATGCGTGACTCTGAACAAATTGCTCAATTTCTCTGAGCTCTTTGGTTTGGTCATTAGATTAGACCCTATCTTAAGGTCTCCAGCTATAAGAGCCCAGGATTCTCTCTGAGCCAGGGATTCTCTCTCCATCCTGCCACTCAACAGATAGGAAACTATGGGGCAAAGACACAGAGAATAGTTCACTCCTTACTTATGAAAGCCTCTGACATACATAGAGGGAGGTTAACGCTACCATCAACACATCCATACTCTCCCCTCACCTCTTCTCCCACCCAGGCCTTCTCTTTCCCATGATATTTTCTAATGAATGCAGTACTGTGCAGTCTTTTGAGGAGGATTAGAAAGTAGAGCCTGAAGGTCAAGATCAATTACCGATTGGCCTGGAAAAATATGTCCCCACTTCCGCAATTCTTTCATTGCAGGTCCCTCTTTCCTCTATGATAGCTTGGATTTTCATGAAAGTTCTATGGTTTTATGTTTTGCTTATTTTTATTTCACCACTTTGTTAGTTGGGTCGTTGGCTGGTCACATTTGTTAACATATTTTTAGGAACCATATGAAAGCTTAGATGTGATTTGTAGACAGTAGACACAGAGGCCTTCTGGACTATGTTTGTGGGGTGGTGGCTTTCCAGGCAGGCAGTCTGAGGCTCTGAACGAGATGAGGTATGTATGGCTCACCAGTGTGGCTATCTGTTTGAGGGCCTCCAGATGTGCAGTCTTGTGGGTTCATTTTCACCGCTCTGTTGATTGTCAACAACCAGGAGGTATTTGCCACAAGCAGTTGGGGGACCTGAGACTCATAGTTTAAAAATGAATTTCCTGACCGCTTTCCAAGTAGCAAAGAAAGTGAAAACCTCACCAAAAGACGTGAGGCTGAATAAATAAAATTTGAAAAAAAAGCAGAAATTCTCCACCTGAATTAGACAAGGAAGGCCTCACTTTAAAAGGGCAGTCACAGCATAAATTGTACTTCACATTATCGATATTTTTAGCTTGTAATTACACATGAAAAAAAAAACACCTGCATCTATTTAAGGGAACTGAAAAGATACCAATGGGGAGTATGTTTCTGTCACTGCTTCTCTTCCTTCTTAGACTTACCCTAATCCAAGAAAGAGTGGTAGATATAATCAGAGCACACATGTTTCAAAAAAGAATGATAGATTACACCCTCGATTAAAACAGGAAATCAATTCTGACAAATGGAAGTTTGTATCTACGCATTTATCTTTCATTTCGGGAAGTGGGGAGAATAATTAGAGACTTGCGACTGGTGACATAAGTGTGTGAGTCTGAATGCCCCAGAAAAGCAGACTTGAGCAACTAAAAAAAAAAAAGAAAAAAAAATCTCAAGCCCCCAACTGTCTCCCTGCCACCACCACTAATTCAGTGGTATGTTAAAACACAAATTATTTTTTAAAAATAGGTTGTCTGTATGATTAGCAAGGATTTAGGGGGGAAAGCTTCTTTTTTATTTTTCCCCGTTTCTCAAAGAAAAATATGAGAAAATTTTACAGAACTTTGTTTCTGAGCCTTGAAAATACTAGAACACAAGACAGCTAAAATGTCCAACCCCACCCAGCCTGTGTGGCTCAGTATTTGAGTGTTGACTTAGGCACCAAGAGGTCGCCGGTTCCATTCCTAGCCAGAACACATACCTGGGTTGTGGGCTCAACCTCCCGTAGGGGGTGTGCAGGAGGAAACTGATCCATGTTTCTCTCTCATGGGTGTTTCTATCTCTCTCTCTATCGCCTCTCCCTTCCTCTCTCTTTAAAATCAATAAAATCATATACCAAAGGGAAAAAAAAACCCGGGAAGTGTGTGTGTCTGGGGGGGGCGGAGGGGGAGCGCGAGGGCACTGCAAAGCTGAGTAAAGAGTAGTTTAAGGGCAGTGCAGACTTCTTCTGCAAATAGTTGGGGGAGGGTGCTTTTTCTTGGTCATTCTAAATAGGTCTCTCTTTGTGAGATTTTAGGAAATGTATTTTAATTCAATGTAAATGTGTAAACACAGAAGTTTCTGTGCGTTCATTCCTGTACTAAGTGCTCAAGGAGAGAAATTGCTTAAGTTGAAATTGTACAGATACATAGAGAAAAGTCTCTGTCAGCATGGAGCTCATCAGGAGGAGGGTACAGAATATGTGTGATATCGGGCTGGAAGGGCTCACAGCCAGGAGATAGGCATGGGCAAAAGCTTGAGCCAGAGTCAGAAGAGATTCATTGGCCCTGGGCTCTGAGCAACTTCTAGAAGCAGCATTTTAAGAGTGTTTTTAATGGGAAGCTAGGAGATTCCTAGCAGAAGGGACAGCCCAGGCAATAAATGAGGGTATGGTGTTAGGAAAGGCTTCTCTACATTCAAGGAAGACTTGCTTGGCTGTAGCCTGGGGATGGGGATACCGTGAGATACAGGAAGCCCATGAGAAAGGATTTATCTTGCCTGCTTTCAACCAGTGCTCCCCAAACTTCCAGGTGCTCAGGGACCTTATTAGCTGCAGGCTCTAATTGAGTAGGTTGGGGGTGGGCCCTAAGGTTCTGCATTTCTGACAATCATCCAGGTGGTCTTGGATTGCACTTTGAGTAAAAGCCTGTGAAATACTGAGGCCTTGTTAATGGGACATCCCCTACATAACCACCTGCAGTCAGGTTTGGCTCAAGTCCTCCAAGCCTATTAGATAGAA